ATTTTCACTTCGTGATACATGTAAATCATTTCCGATTTATATGTTCGTTCCCGTGATTTCTAATTTACTATTTTACAATATTCTGCCTCTCCATTATGTCCAGCCTACAAACTTTATAACCCATTTTCCATTTGAATCTAATTTTGCCATTATATTGTCAAAACATAGATCCCCATGAACAAAATCATTATCATGCATTATTTTTACTGAATGTAAAATCCTTGCTTTCAATTCTGTCTTTTCTTTCTCATTTAATCCATGTCATATATCAGTCATAATGTTGAATCCATCAAGATATTCCATAATAATAAATTTGTAGTCAGTGTTTTCAATGTTGTCAAATTTTATCAATTCTGGTGCAAACCCTTGGTTAAAGCAGAAATTATGCACCTCTGCACTGTATGAAGTGGCAAATTTCAAAATGTGCTTACTCCCTCCTGGTTCCCTTATCAAAAAAACAAGCTTCTTGTTTTCACTGTCAATACGATTTATATATTCAATATTCACAAATTCTCCAGAAATTGTCTTATATTTCTTAGAAAAGGAAAGTGTTTTTGTCTTGTTACTTCTTTACTCACTTGGAATTTTGGAATTTGACTATAATATTCATCCAGATGGTTATTGGCTTTTCGCAATGCACAGAAAACTCTTGATATCTGATCTATCCAAAACCTGTTTCCATGTTTCAAAATCAGTGACCCTTCTACAAGTGGGTCAATGGTGACTTTTTGTCCCATAACTGCACCTGCAATGCCAAAATAAGGTCCATAAATGTAAACAAGAAAAGTTGGTATACAAGTTTGTTGAAGAATATATGAATTTTTGTCATGTAACTCTTCAAAATATCTAGAATAGTATGTACATGCTTGCATGTAAAGGATCAGCTGATGAAAATTCATTTTTGCATTCAAAGATGGTTAATAAAATAGTTTTTCCATTGTATTCCTTCCGCCATACCCCATCAATTGATTGTTCATTACTAAATTTATAGGAGGTTGTATCATAATTGATAAATAGCCCACTCTTGGAATGCATTTATTCTCTCATTGTGTGACATGAAAGCACCACTCATTTTTGATAGCAGTTCACAAACAATATTTTTATCCTCATTTGTTATAACAAGATCTTTGCAATCTCTTAAAAACTTCCCAAAAACTTCATTGTATAAGGTAATTGGGATGTCATAATTATTTGGTGGGCGGCAATTTAAAAATGGTGGATTAGGATGATCTAACTCTTGAATCCAATTTCTCTGTAAAGCAAATTCTGATGCAGAGTATTTTATTTTTTTAACACAATTTAATGCTTTTGTATCAACATCTTTTTGCAAATAGTAAACAGTAACATAATTAGGTTAGTTTGGCAAATATCTTAATACATCAAATTTAGAAAAGCAAGCAAGCTTACCTTCATTTTCTAATTCCACTCCAAACTTGTGTTTCACAAGTAAAGGAAAAAAAAATGTTAAAGTTAAAACAATATATTAAACAAATAAATAAATAAAATGAATGAAATGAATGAAAAATAATTTTTTGTATATTTATTCAATCCAAAATTTGCATTATGTGATCTTTACTTGTATCTTTCTCTTTCAATAGTTTCAATTCTCATTTTGATTTAATAACTTCTTTTTCCAATTTCATTGTCTTTTTTTCCCACTCCTAAAAAGAATGTGGAGAATAATGGTGCATAATCAATCTCTGCAAGATTGAATACTAAATATTAATTTATTGAAATAAATACCTTCTCATTGTTTTCTTTTCTTCGTTAGCACTGAGTAAATCAAAAAAAAGTTATATAACTATATATATAGAGTGATGGCACGTGGCAATGATTGCAATCATCACCATTCCTTATGATAAATAATAAATAATACTTGGATCATTCTTTGTGTGCCTTTTTTTGGTAATTTTTTTGTCTTTTAGGTTATCTTGTCTTGGCATGTTTTTTTTAAAAATAAAAAAAGAAAGTTTGATTATTTATTTTTTTTTTCCTTGATTGATCAACACAACTAACTATTATTATAATGCATGTATGGGTCATACAAACAAGTATTTTTTTTGGAAGCGATTTATTTTTACAAACAAAGAGTCCATCGTACCAAACAACATTCATGTTTGTTGTCTCAGTTGGTTCTGCTAAAGAAGATGAGTCATTTATAGGTACATCTTTTTTTGTGTATTGATATATGTCTTTTTTATATAAATGGGGAGTTTTCTAGCAAAAGGGACCTTAGTTCATATTAAATTATTTTGAGAAAATAGCTCCTGAAAATTTGTTACACGAAAAATTGATTGTTTGAGCCCCAAAATTTGTCATAACAAATTTTGGTGAAACGGCCGAATTTTTCATTAATTTATTCTTATAAACAGTGAAAAATTTCTTATGAAAATTTTTTTTTAAAAATCAAATATCTAGTACTAAAAACCTAAACTTTATTTATCAAAAAAATTATCATTTATAATTATATTTTCAAATTTAGATCAATCATTTGTAGATTTAAATCATGAAATTATCACCTGAAAATTTAATTTTACCAGATGAGTTATATGATTTAGGATTAGAAGAATATGAATCAAATGAATTGGTATTTAAAGCAACCCAGGATTTGAAATTATTTTTTGAAGATGAATCAAATTGCAAATGTAAAAAAAAAGATAGAATATGTTCTAAAAAAATTGGCTTTAAAAACTTTTTGAAAGACAATTCCAGTTAAAAGGATTAGAAGACAATCAACTAGATCTTTGTATTAAAACACAATTAATGGCTTTTAAATTAAATGATGATGAGACAGAAAGAGATATTTATAATTATCAATATAATTCATCAATACCCATTTGCCAACCAGTTTTTTTAGAACTAAGTGGTTTTGGTATAAAAAAATTAAAAGCCTTGCAAAAGCATTTAAAAACAGATGGTTTAATAGATCATATACATGGTAATACTGGTAAAGATCCTCAAAATAGTTCATGTGCAATTGTTAATCTTGAAATTGCACAAATATTTAAGAATTTTTTATTGCAATACTCAAATTTACATGGACTACCATCTCCTATGAGAATGAGGGATGAATCAGAATTAATCATTTATTTACCAACTTATTTAAATTATACTACAGTATATGAGAAATTTAGAAATTATTTGATTTGGAATATGAATCTATTAGATCCATTGAATATAATACATTTTACAAACTATGGAAACAATTAACACCATACTATAGATAGATGCTGGTCACAATTCTTGGTGATGGTTGCAACCATATTTGCGACATATAAAAATGGTTTGTGACACCTGGTTGCAACCACCTTTGTGACCACTTTGGTTTCCTTTTTTGGATTGCGACATTGAACACTACACCATACATTAAATTCCAAACACCTGGAACTGATCTTTGTGATACTTGTGAAGCATTTAACAGAGATATAAAATTTACAAATGATGATGATGAAAAAGAAAATATTAGATTTGAATGTAGAAAACATCGAGCAAATGCAGAATGGGAAAGAAGCCATTATAATAAAATAATTGAGAAAAGTAAAAATGACCCAACAATAACACACATTTGTTATGATTGGGCCCAAAGTGTTGCAGCTCCATTTTCTTCTCAGCAACCTGGATCAATTTATTTCAAATCCCCTTTCATTGTATTCCTTTTTGGTGTAAGACAGATGGAAAAAATAATCAGTTAAATTATACTATAGGAGAAGATGAATTACCAGAAGGAAAATCCAAAAAAGGAGCCAACACAACTTTGAATATGGTTTTTGATTTTCTCCTAAAGAATCGTCGTGTTGATAAAAAAGATCATTATGTCACACGTGATAATTGTCCTGGACAAAATAAAAACAATTTGTCTCTTTGGTTTTGGTCATGGTTAACAATGTTGGGTTGGTATGAGGATATTTATATAAATTTTATGATACCTGGGCATGCAAAATTTATTTGTGATGCTGAATTTGGATCTATTAAAAAAGCATACAAGAACAGTTGTATAAATACTGTTGATGATGTTGAGGTGGTTATAAACAAATCATCTATAGATAATAAGTCTATTGGATATAATAATGGGTTAGGTTGGAAATGGAAAGACTTTAATTCAATGTTAAAAGATCATTTTAGAACTTTACCAAATATAACAAAGTATCATCATTTTTGCTTTAGCAGTTCATCAAATGATATTGGAATAGTTTATTTTTCAAAAAAATCTGGTGGAGAAGAATGCTTTTATAATCTTTTAAAGAATACAAATTTTGATTAAGATACACAATTAAATTTTCTTGAAGTTGTTCCTTTATCAGAAGATTGAAAAAAATATTTATTTGCTAACATTCATCAGTATGTAGATAATCCATATAAAGACATTCTCTGTCCAAACCCTGATTAATATTAATATTAATATTAATATCATGTATTTATTATTTACGTTTATTTTTTATCAAACTTGGTGTAACTAATAAAAATGGGGTTGTGGATCAATCCAAGACTTTGTGCAAATTAATTAATTTAAAAAATTCTTTATTGCCTGATCACTCGTTTTTTTACTAAATAAACATGATCTGATTTTTTCACCAGTTATAATCCTTGTAATATAAATATATATTATGCAAAAAACTCAATTTTGATCAGAGGGCACCTTTTGCTAGAGAACCCCCATATAATAAAATATTAATTTGCTTATAATTATGGATATTTTATATAATGAATATAATACATACAAAAGTTTTTCAATTAGACCATAACCTTTTAAAGTTGTGAAGTAGAAAATCGTGGATAACTCAAAAAAAAAGGTTTATACCTTAAATTAATTCCATAAAATATATAGAATTATTGCAAATAAATAAATAATGTAATTTTTATCATTTTTGCAAGATTTGAAAACATCACTTTCAGATAGTTTATATCACTCATGAGTCTGGCGTCACGAATTGATTCTTGCGTCTGCGTCAATGCGTCTCACACCAAACTAATTGCGTCACACGACTTTTAATTTTGACATGTATAGTCAGTTCTATGTATCACTCAAGATAGAAAATGAGATACTATAAAACTGTTAATTATAATCACATTACAAATGACTAAATTTTGATCCCTGAAATTCTGCTAATACCAATGTTCACTTTGTCTGGTTTTGTTGCAGCATGCCCCAAATCACATTTACTAAAAAAAATTTTGATTATAATCGTGGGGACATTGCAGATCAAATGTCACCTACCATAAATATCCGTTCGCATGATGATTGGAAATGTTACGCCTTGGGACTGGTGCATTAAAGTAAACATGTTTTTTTAAAGTTAATTTGCATATAAACTTAAGGTTTCGTTGAGTTTGCATTATTAATGAATTTAGGATGAAAATTTTAAATTAGATAAAAAATCCCGTGATTTTATGAAAACTTCAAAATTCCGTTAAATTATGGATCAAGTCATTAAAGTAAGTTTACTTAAAATACTTTGAATTATATATGGTTAAAAATTGATAAGTATAGACAACAAAACGTAAAGGCTTAAAATTGTATTCTGTGTTTCCAAATTACGGATGGTCGGGTACTTTTTAAACCCTTTTCACGAACTAGTTTATTCCGAAACCGTATTGTAGATATATGTAATTCGTTACGTTGAGCATGTTTCATTGATGCAATCAATATACATTATAACAAAGAGATTTGACCTTTTATCACATGTAAATTTCGATTGAAAATTTCTTTTTTTGGACTATTTGATACCAAACCTTTCGAAGCTATTGTAATTGAGAGATATTGATATCAAGTACAAGTTTACTTAGTAAAGTAAAATTGTCTTTAAGAAAACGTTACTTTTTTAGTAAAGACTTTTTTCATTTGACATTACACGACATAGGCGGCCAGATATTTATGGTAGGTGAGTGTATTATGTATTAATATCTAAAAATAAGAATTCAACCTGTGTAACAAAGCAGTCTTTCGTAATATATTTCTATATCGAAAAGGTTCTCTAAGTGAAGCTACAACTATTCAAAAACAATATTCCATTTTTACTTCAAAACAAGATCATCGTTTCAATTTATTTTAAATGTCTTAAAAATTGGTGAAAA